TCTCCGACATCACATTTACCTATCTGATGTCCACATCACATTTCCTTATATGTTTACTGCTAAGGACTTTTCCTAAGGATCATCGCCTATATCGTATAGACTTTACTATATCGGGGATTACTCCCCCAATACATGTCCAGTAAGGGTTAGAGTATCATTGCATGAATACGTAGTTACTACATCGTCTGAACTCATAATTCATTACCTACATGTTATGAGTATGCCAATGTTTCCACATGACTTGTTTAGATTAGTCAGTAGTCGTCATCTATACTCCGCTAGATGATTATATCGCAACATTGCAAGTCAAGGTCAGGGAATATCCTAGTTATTTCATATTTATCATTACCTATCTATTATCTCCTATCTTCAATCCCCTATCACTGCTCGATACATATTTTAATACTTACATGATTAAATCAATTTAAATGTCATATCATATTATTTTATCTAACACATAATATTTTTGGCACAAATAATAAGCACATAAAGTATGTAATTATCTAGATACTTCATATCTGTGTATAAGATGAATGTAACTATGCACTCACTTTATTTATATATCTAGTTTTCAAATGCTAGTTCCACATCTAGTACTCTTGTTTATCTTTCAAATGACCTATTACCAATAATAGTTTATTTTAGTCACGACTAAATGCTATTATTATTTGTATAATTCTTTAGGTCATTATTATGGTATATACCATTTTACTCGTTATAATATGCACTCACGTGATTTCTAAATGTAGTTTTCGAATGCTAGTTCCACATCTAGTACTCTTGTTTATCTTTCAAGTTTCAAATGACCTATTACCAATAATAGTTTATTTTAGTCACCACTAAATGCTACTATTATTTTTTATAATTCTTTAGGTTATTATTATGGTTATATACCATTTTACTCATTTTAATTAACTTTTTAATACTTAATCTCGAATATAGAAATATAACAAATTACTTAAGTATTTTCTCATTTTAATATATATTTACTCAACATTATATTAAGTTATTTATTCATCAAATAACCACTATGGGACCATTTTTTCCATTTTTATAAGGCACTTCCATATTTAATTAAAATATAGTTTATATATCTAGAACAGACGTATTTTATAAAACTTATTACTCCATTTTAACACTTAATATTACTAATACATTCACAAGTTAAAACATCAAAATTATTTTAAAGATATAAGTGTGTATTAGCTAAGGAGTAATAGCGACTAAGGCTTTAAACGAACCGAACGAACACGAACAAAACGAACAAAAGTTTTTTCATGTTCGTTCGTTTAAATTAGCCGAACAAACAAACAAACAAGAATAGATAAACAAACAGAGTTTTCTTGTTCATGTTCGTTCGTTTATGTTCATGAACATGCTAAACGAACATAAATGAACAAAGATAAACAAACCCAATTGAACACATATGAACACAAACGAATTATAATATAGTAATGTAATAAAAACAATTGAACATATATGAAAATAAAATAAAATAAAATAAAATAAAATAAAAAAACTTAAATGAACGAATATAAATGAACGAACGAGACCATTATTCATGTTTGTTTGTTTAACTAAACGAACGATAATTTGTGTTAATGTTCGTTCATGTATTAAATAAACGAACTTCCCACTGAACAGTTCACAAACGTTTCGTTGAACGTTAAATTCGTTTACAACCCTAATAGCAACAACCCATTATTAGTGGCAGGTTTCCCTATCTTTATCTTTTGTCATGACTTTTGTGGCCGGTAATACAAACATCTCTTGTTGTGGCATCAGCCCATGCCCTTGCCGTGATTATCACGTCATATACTATAGTCTTAACTCCCTGAGGCTAACGACCATAGATTTATGTCTTCAATTGAGAGCATGTGTAAAATGCTACATGCATGGTCAACATCATAGGACCGACTAGTGACAGAATTAATATCATCCACCCAAAAGCAATGAAATTAAGATAATATTATAACGTACCTCCTTCTCAATGACATTATAAATTATGCAGCAACTCAATTGTGGTGTTTCGCTTTAACTTACCTCTTTCTCAATGGCTTTAGTGCACCTCTTTTCCAATTCAAGCTTCCTTTACAAAAAAACTTATGCCAAAAGTAGAGGGTTTAACATTTGCAAGCCATTATCACTACAAGAAAGTAGAGCATTACCGGTGACAGACGTCGCCGCTAAAACGTCGACGCTGATGTTTTGTCGCTATTAATCAAACTGTCTCCGCTAATGCGTGTCTGTCGTCGCTAAAACCCGTCGCCGCTAATAAGCACACGTCGTCGCTAAAACTCGTCGCCGGTAATAAGCTATTGTCGCCACTAAAGGTGTCGCCAGTATTAGTTTTTTTCTTTAAAAAAAAAAAAAAAAACTAGTATGATATTAATTAATCTAATCCTACATCATTCCATTCCAAAATATTAATACAATATCCGTTTAAAATACTCGTCTAATTTAACCTAGAACAAAATATCGAAAATACTAGTCTAAAATATTTGCACAAATAAAACATAAAAAAATCCTACAACTATCTATTCGTCATCATCGCTCTCCTCGTTTCCTCCAGTTTCATTTCGTTGTGGCAACGAACGAAACCAATCTTCAAGTGCAGCACTACATGCCGGATCTTTTAACATTGTTTGAAGCATTTCCAACTACAAATAAAACAACATAGTCTTATAAGTAAACTAGCATTATAACATTCTATATACAAAATATACATTCCACATATTGGGTATAAAACATTATAACATTGTACTATAACTAACAATTACCAAATTTTGAAACTATTACTAAACCAACAATTACCAACATTTTAAACAATTACCAAAATTAAATAATCTTGTCACCTGTGATTGTGGTGGTGGCTGTGTCATTGGTTGTTCCTGATCGTACATCGAAACAACCGTAGAAGGTTTACGCCCGATGCCTTTGATATGGCCACGTCGAACACCCAATATTTTTTCAAAACAATTTTGTGTATCCTTTGGTGTTAGACCGCTGGTTTCAGAGGAAGCTTGAGTTTGTTGACTGATCTCAAAGAGTAAAGCATTCTGTATTTTCAAAAAAGAAATAAATATAATAAAAATTAGATTACTAACTACCCTTTGACGATATAAGCACTTATATGAAAATACAAATTAACCACTTACGTATTGTTGCTCGACTGCAGGACTAGTAAACACCCCTTGGCGATTAGTATTGGCCTTACGAAATGCTTCGATTCGAGCGATGTCCTATTTAACATTAAAAATTAGATTAATTATAATTTAAATAAACAGTTAAATATATCATAGCTTACTTCTTTGAAACATGCATTGCTATACGAGCACGATCCCCCTCTGTTTACAACTTGTTGTTGTGCACGGACTCCTTTGTTTGACGCCGAAAGCTTTAGAAATTCAGGAGTTTGAAAGTGCTCGACTGCTTGCGCCCAATTTTCACGTGACATACTATCGGGGGGGTTGGCTAATGCCCTTGGGATATCTGTAAGCCCCCCGACATTCTGAAAATAAGTATGTGCTTTATTTTTTCGTCCTCTATAAATTCTTTGCAAGGTCGCGTCAATGCTCTGCAACAACTGAGCACGCTCGGGATCCAAGTTAACCTTATCTAAATCAAACTTATTCTACAAATACAAAAAAGTTAGTTAGTTAAATACCAATTAGAACGAAATTTAAAATATTGTCCAAGTTACCTTTAAATGAACCACTGTGGCATTCCTTAAAGCGGCGGAAACATTCTCCCAACTAGATACGTTCAAAGGGATGTTCATCCATATATACTTCCCAATCTCACGGGTAAACCAATTACCATGGTTCCCGATAGGGGAATATGTCAGCTCTCTATCGAAATCCAAATCTACAGGTTTTCCCTTGTTTGCCCGTATTATCTTTGATAATTGAATGTTTTTTGCTAGGCCTCTTCTTTTCTTAGGGAGCTCAGCTGAAAATATAATTAAAAATATTAGTCATGATAACTTATAATAAATGGATAAAAATATCTAACATATATATCATAATAAGACTTACCATCTTGTTCGTGTTGACCACGACCAAAACCTCCGGGAGGTGGTGGATCCCCGGCTCCATCACCTCCATGTCCTAAGCCCATAACATCCGCCATCACGTAGAAGAGTATCGCCCAACTAAACCCCATATATAACCTGCAAAATTACAATATGAATAGAATTTACACATATTACATATACAAAAATAATACAGTTTCTATTATAACATTGTAGTTTCCAAATTGCATACAAGTACATACACAATATAACATCATACTTTTTTTTCCTTTAATATTGCATCCTACTTTTTGTTCAATTTTTTCCATGAACTAATTCATTATACAAATATAACCTTTATAAAAAATATCATTTAAGTCAGTAACAAAATGGTAAGAAATTAATAATTTCTAAAATTTAATTAATCTAAGGCTTACTTAATCTAAAATAAATCAATATTATAAAAATTATAAATAACTTTCTGAAATTTTACATTAAAACTTTGGATTCAATTTACACATATTACGACTAGATTTTTAATTATTTTTTAGAGCAAGGCGTACAAATCAGAAGTTGAGGTTTGATCATATATATTTTGTAATGGAGTTTGGTTAAATCAGGAGGTTTGATACCTCCTGTATCCTCATCATCGTTCATCCCAAATGAGAAGCAAAAAAAAAATACAAATTAATGGCCTTGTGTTTATCATCTACCAACAAATCAAGAGATTAAAAGGGCCAACAAATCAAGAGATTAAAAGGGGATGGATGGAGTGGACTTAGGAAGAAGGAAGCTATAAACAATATAAAATGCATACAATCTAACAAATTGCACAAACACTTTTAATCTCAAAATTACTAACAATTTATCATACAACATAGCAACAAAACACGAAAATAATAGAAAATTGGAGAAATTTGACCTTGAATGTGGGCAATTTCGGTATTGAGCTCAAGGATCGCCGGTTTTCAACGTTTTGAGGGAAGCTATGGCGGTCTTATGGTGGCAGAAGGGGCTAGCACCGGTAATTTACCTTCGTCCTCCACTTAGTCGAAGTGATCAAACCGAGAAGCAACAACAGAAACGAGAGAAGGAAAGGATACAAGCAGAGGAAAAAATGTCACCGAAAAGGAAACTGGAAAGGGTAATCTGTAATGGGTATTAGCGGCGACAGAAGGGTAATAGCGGCAACATCAGGGCAATAGCGGCGACACCTTTGGAGGGAAAAGTCAGCGCGTTTTCGCTTTCCTCTACAACCGTTGGATTGAAATCAAATCGGACGGATAGGGATAATTTGACACGGATCGCCGATTTTGAGCATTACCGGCGACGCTTTTAGCGGCGATGCGTAGCAATAGCGGCGACGTGTAACACGTCAATTACGTGTCGCCGCTATTGCTCTCCGTCGCCGCTAAAAGCGTCGCCGGTAATGCCAACATTTCTTGTAGTGTATATTCTTCACAATCCCCATCAAAAGCCATCACAACCGCTCAATCCCTGGTTAGACGATCAGCAAACTATAAAGTATCTTTATGGTCATTTGATCATATTGAGTCACTCTCTACCAAATACAAAGCTCGCAATATCAGTTTTATACTTGTTTCCCTTTTACATGTCATTTTTAATTTGCTAGTATATTCACGAATTTAAGCTACATGTATAGGGAAATGATTATACGTCAAGAGCAGATACTTTGATAGATGCAGTGAAGTCCATGATATGGAAAGTGAGCCATTCGTTGAGTACCCTTGAACTCATTGACGATTTGCATAGACGTGGAATATCATATCATTTTGTGGATGACATAAGTCATCTCTTGGATATGATTTACCACAATTACTACCAAACTCAAGACAAGTGGGATAGAATGGATCTAAAACTTAAAGCCCTTGTTTTAGATTGATGACACAACATGGTTATCATGTTCCTCAAGGTACAATGTTAATAAAATATCTTTTATTACCTCCAATGCTTCATTTTTCGTAAGAGAATTTAAAGATTACTATAATGGTCCAGCATCCAAGAGTATATAAAGTTTCGTAGAGCACGTCAAAAAATTAACACTTTCCATCATTCTTTTTTTTGTATATAATTACTAATTAGACATATTTCGCAACATCAACGACACAAATCGAAATCTTAAGCGGCACTTATACAATGATATGATGTGCATGTTGAACTTGTACGAGGCTTCCTATCATTCCTTTGAGAATGAAGGCATATTGAACGAAGTTATCCACTTCACAGCTAAATATCTCAAAGAAAATATAGAGCAATATAATGAAAATTTATTATCAATGGTAACTCAAGCTTTGGAGCTTCCACTGCATTGGAGAGTACCGAGGGTAGAGACAAAATGGTTTATCATAGAATATGATAATAGAAGTGGCATGAATCCGTCCCTTTTGGAGCTTGCAAAATTGGATTTTAATATTGTCCAATCTATGCACCTTGAAGACCTAGAGCATTCTTCAAGGCAAAATATCTTCCCCATATGTGTGCTTTATATCATTGCGACTTATTACATATCCTCTAAAATAAACAACAATTAGAGGTACGTTTGAATAGACTAATGGTGATAGTTGATAACACATATGAACAGATGGTGGAGAAACACAAGTTGGGAAAAGAATTTAAGTTTTACCTGAGATCGATTAGTGGAGAATTTCCTTTGGACGGTTGGTGTCAATTACCTACCTCACTTTAATGTAGCAAGGAAAACACTATTGAAGGTTAATGCCATAATAACTACTATTGACGATATTTATGATGTATGGTACTTTGGATGAACTTGAACACTTTACACTACAAGAATAACTGGCAATAGCAGCGATGTCTTTAGCGGTGACGGGGACTTTTAGCGGTGACAAAAATCAAGCGCGTTTTTTGTCGCCGCTAAAAGCCCCGATCGCCGCTAAAGGCTTATTTTGACGATCCGTGTCATTTCAATCTCATCCGTCAATTTAAGAGATGATCCTACGACTAGGATGACATAAGAAATCCCACGTTGTTTTCCCTCTGGTGTGTCGCCGCTAAAGGCTTATCTTAGTGATCTGCGTCATTTCAATCTCATCCATCGATTTAAGAGATGATTCAACGATGTAGAAAACTCCGCGTTGTTATCCCTCCCATGTGTCGACGTTAAAGACTACGTGTGGCCGCTAAAGGCCGTCGACGTTAAAACCCCTGTCTACTCCATTTTTCTGTGTTCTCCCTTCTTTCTCACCATTATCGTTGACCTCATTGGAATTTGACAAAGAACTTTGCAATTTCACTCATTTTTGCTCCATTTTTCTCGTTTTCATTTTCCTTTTCACTTCTCCTTACTAAATTTCTAGCATTGATGCGTATTTAGATGTGTATTTTGTGTTTGTGCATATGGATGTGTATTTGTATGTATATGAGTATTTTGAATGTATTTTATGTATGTATATGTGTTTTTGTATGTACATCCTATGTATATATGTATTTTATGTATATGTATGTGTGTTATGTATGTGTATGTATTTTCGTATGTATATGTGTATTATGTATGTGTATCTATTTTCGTATGTATATGTGAATTTTGTATGTGTATTATGTATGTATATGTGTGTTTGTATGAATACAAATACATATTAATAGATGCGACGCCTTTAGTGGCAACGGAGAGCATTAGCGGCGACGTATGCAGCATCAGCGGCGACCAATGAAGCATGAGCGACGAGCCAACAACGACTACCCTTTAGCGGCAACATGTCGCTACTAAGCCTAATACCTTTAGCGACAACGTCTGTCGCCGGTAATACTCTTATTTCTTGTAGTGGGAAGATATTTTGCCTTGAAAAATGCTCTAATCTTCAAGGTGCATAGCTTGGAAAATATTAAAATCCAATTTTGCAAGCTCCAAAAGGGACATATTCAGGCCACTTCTATTCTAATATTCTACGATAAACCATTTTGCCTGTACCCTCAGTACTCTCCAGTGCAGTGGAAGCTCCAATGCGTAAGTTACCATTGATTATAAATTTTCATTAATTTGCTCTATGTTTTCTTTGAGATATTTAGTTGTGAAGTCTCTAACACCATCCAATATGCATTCATTCTCAAAGCAATGATAGGAAGCCTCGTACAAGTTCAGCCTCGTAATAGTATGTCTAATTATTAATTATGTATAAAAAAAAAAAAAAAAGAAGAATGATGGAAAGTGTTAATTTTTTGACGTGTTCTACGAAACTTCATATACTCTTGGATGTTGGACCAATATAGTAATCTTTAAATTCTCTTAAGCGAAATGAAGCATTGGAGGTTATAAAATATATTTTATTAACAATGTACTTTGACGAACATAATAACCATATTGTCTCATCAATCTAAATCCAAGGGCTTTAAGGTTTAGATCCATTCTATCCCACTTGTCTTGAGTTTCGTAGTAATTGTGGTAAATCATCTCCAATAGATGACTTATGTCATCCACAAAATGATATGCTATACCAAGTCTCTGCAAATCGTCAATGAGTTCAAGGGTACTCAACGGATGGCCCATTTCGCGTATCATCGACTTCACTGCTGATATCAAAGTATCTGCTCTTGACGTATAATCATTTCCCTGTGCATGTAGCTTAAATTCGTGAATATACTAGCAAATAAAAAATGACATGTTCCGTACTTTGTATTTGGTAGAGAGTGAATGAATATGATCAAATGACCATAAAGATACTTTATAGTTTGCTGATCCTCTAACCAACGATTGAGCGGTTGTAATGGTTGTTGAAGTGCATTGTGATGAATATAATGGCTTGCAGATGTTAAACCCTCTGCTTTTGGCATAAGAATTTTTGTAAAAGAAGCTTGAATTGGAAAAGAGGCGCACTAAAGGCATTGAGAAGGAGGTACATCAAAGCCAAACACCACAAATGAGTTGCTGCACAATTTTTAATGTCATTGCGATCTCGTTTTTATCATATTATTTAATTCCACCCATTTCCTTTTTTGATGGTAATCAAATACTCACAATATTATCTTACTTTCATTGCTTTGGGTGGACGATATTAATTCTTTTTCACTAGTCGGTACTATGATGTTAACTATGCATGTAATGTTTTACACATGCTTTCAACTGAAGACAGAAATCTATAGTCGTTAGCCTCATAATCCAGGGGGTTAAGACTATAGTATATGACGTGGTAATCACGGCAATAATTGAATATTATACATTAAGTAAAAACCTCCAACAAAATTGGGAGACATGAACATCATTGATCTAATTATTAATGAAATTATTGTTGATTGTGCCACTACAACTACAAATTACAATAATACGTACCAAGTCATTATTAATGAATATCATAACATTTAATCACTATAACTTAATGAAAATTCAGTTAATAAGAAAGAAGACCTCTGTTACAAGAAAGTAAATAGCAATGCAAAGGCATCATTTGGGAACATCATATCTTCCTGAAGCTCTCCTGCAGACATATAACAATTAATTAGTTATATCAATAATTAGATCCAAATTTTGCTTCCACGAGAATAAAAGAATTTACCAGGCCATGAATTCTTGCAATCAACCCTTCGCTGTAAAAGTTAATGTGCACTTTCAGCAACAAATTATATGAACAACTTAGTGATAGTCCTCATCTTTGTGAACTACCCGTTTGTACAAGGTAGATGCAACAATAAGTCTGTAAGTTATACATAAGTATGACTTGAAGGGGAAGTGATTGCTTAGAAGGATGGGTGGCTATGTGATTTCAAAGTAATCTCAACATCTGATTATTTTGACACTAAGTAATCAACAATCAGAATCATGATGATCAGTTGCTCCAAGACTCTAACACTGATTATTGAAGTTTAAATTGTAATAATAAATTCTGGAAATGTATATCAACATCGCACAACAATCCCATAAGAGGAAGAAACAAAGGGCAGATTCTAAGTCAATGTTATAGTGATTCCAGCAGGTATAGCAAAGTCGTAGGCATTTCTAACCCAAATAGAAGACACAAACGTACGAATAGGAACACCTATTGATCAAAACAATAATCCCACCAAGAACAGTACAACAAATACATGTAATCGTAACAAAATCGTACGCAGTTGCAATCCAAATACACATACAAACAAAACCTTAAAAACAGGAAGAAAGAAACACAACAATCAAAAAACAAACACAAACATAAGCTTAACAAAAAAAATGAACCCTAAAAAGACGGAGGCGACAGAGTTAGGGTTCATCAATCCGGCTATACCCGCGGAATTACGAAGGTCACCGGCTTTGGATTCGTCTAGCCGGAGGGTGCCTCCGATTGTAGATCGACCAGTAAATAAATTTCTAGAGAGAAGTGCTAATCGAATAAAGAAGGAGGAGGGCAATTACGTTAGTGGCGACAGTCAACTACAACGATCTGAGATTTATACAACAGTCGCCGGATAACTCCGGTCGGTGTACCGGAATAATTAAAAGCGTTGACGGCAATTGCGACAACAACGACTTCTAGCGACACAAATCTTTAGAAACGACAGCAATAATGACACCTTTTTAGTATTAGCTACGGAAAAATAGCATTAGTGCAGGGCGTGTTTCCCTATCTTTCCCTAAGACTTGTTTGTTTTTGTTGAGGGACCATATCTATAAATCTCTGCAGAAGCAGAGGTGGATCAAACGTCTGCAGTCTGAAAAAAAAAATGTTTATTTTTTTAACAAGTGCAGGCTATTAAAATAAACTGATTTTTTAAACTACAAAGTGATTTTTTAATATATTTATGACTTTGTTATAAATAATTAACACATCTAAATCAACTTTTATGTATTATTGTATAAAACCTGAAAATAAAAATGATACAAATTAACGTATATATTTGATAAAAACCAACAATTTTGGTCGTAAAGTTATGTCTAAACATTGTAATTATGAATTA